AGGGCTCGCCTTTCCCGCCCCGAGGAGGGCGCGAGGCTTGGCGCTGCAATCAGAAGGCCGCGGCGCTCGGCAGCGCGACGCAGCTGCCCCAGAACGATCCCACGTGGATTTCGACACTTCTGCAGAAATCGCGCTGACAGCTGGCCAGCCACATCGCCGGCCCTGCATGCCCGCGCGCGTTACTGCGTTCTGCTGCCGCGACGCGTGCTGCTGTCAACGCGCGAACAAATTGGCGTTGCACGGTGGTTTGGCTGTGCCAAACCACCATGGAATGTTTGTTGGTAGCGGAGTTTGGGATCTTGTCGCCGCCGACAGCGTTGACGCACCATACATGTCAACTGCATTTTAGAGCACGGCCGTGCATCAACCCTGGTTCAGATCGCTGGGGATCCAGTGGCATGTGCGCACATGCGTTGCACCGTTGGTGGTGCCAAAACCTTTTGTGTGAAATTCCTTAGTGTGTGTGTTTGTGTGTGTGCGTTTTTTTGTTGTTTCTGGTTCCTTTTGTCTGTAGACTCGGCTCGAGGCGAGGCGGCGGCCAAGCACGGCCGAGCCGAGATGGCTTGCAGATTGCACGACGCCCAGGCCTTCATCGGCGCCGTCTTGGACGAGATGGGCCCCGACATGGCACGAGCAGGCTTGGCCTGGGACCGCGCAGAGGACGACCTGGAGCACGCGACGCCAGCCGTTGGGGCCAGGACCTTCGGCCACTGGGACGACACCAAGGGCGCGCAGCTCACCGCGCAGGCACGACACCGCCAAAACGTCCTCGAAGCCCTGCGCGTTCTTCCCCGCAGATGCTTTCAGCTACCAGACGTTCGCGCTGCACGACGCATTCGCGGACAGAAATATTTAGGCAATTGGCCGGGTTGCACCCGCAGCTCGGCCATCTGGCGGCCCTTTCGGAGCCCCATCCGACGTCCAGCAGATCCACGTCAACGGCGTCACATTCCACGCCCGCCAGGTCATCGGCGGGCGGGCAATGGGAGGAAGCTCGCATCATCCAGTTTATCTCGGGCGACGAGCCGTCAGTGTCGACGCTGGGCATGGCCCGGGCGGAACGCTCGACGACTGCATCATGGGCCCCCCCAATGACACCGCCAGCACCACCAAAGGTGGATCGCCATCAGCCCCGTCGGCTAAGCCATGGGAAGCCGCCAGCGACTTCGCCGGCCACATCGAGCACGCGACGTCGGCAGCCCGGCGCGATGTCGAGGGGGCAGAAGGTCTGACCTGGGAGTTGGAGGAGCTAGAGAGCGCCGACAACAGCTGCACAATATCACCGCTGCCGTCGAGCACACCGCGGCCGACCTACCTAGGCCGTAGGCCACGCGAGTGGCCCCATCACCTTGAGACGCAGCGCCAGCGTCAGAGCATTCACGCGCACTGCCACCACTTCGTGCGCGGGGCCTCCTCCTCGGACGACTACGCCGCGCTGAAGGAGGAGGGAGATGCGCGTGGGCCTGTGGAGATTTATCTTGACCCAGGGGCGCGCGAAGCATGCCTGAGCTTCGACGAGGCCGCGCCCGGCGACTGCGTCGTTGGCGCCCCTCAGACAGCCGCGCCCAGGGACGGCGTCGCCGGCGCTTCTCGGACAGCCGCGCTTAACATTTATAAAGCCGTCAAGACCGCGGTCTTCAAGCGCGACGCCAACCTTTTGTCCAACGGGGAGGCGTCGAGGCCGTCGAAGGAGGTCGCAGCAGCCGCCCTCAAGAAGCTCACCACGCGGGTCTTAAGTACACACGTTTCCAGGAGCGGCCGCCCAAAGGCGCCCGAGACGCAGTGGACACCAGGCACGTCTTCGCGCAGAAGCGTTAGAAGGGATCAGGCGGCAAAACTGCCGGGATCATCCGGCGCCGCATGGCGCCGAGGGGCTTCCGCGACATGGATGCTGGAGCCCTGGAGACGTCCGACAGCGAAGCGGGCGTCTCAGCGCCCACTACCTTCGGGAGCGGGGCGTCGACCTGACCGGGTGCGCACGTCGCCGTTGACGTCGAGGAGGCATTCCGGCAAGGCATTAACAATGCAGAGATGCAGGAGCAAGGCAAAGTTTTCGAGAGGTGCGTTTCACCCTGCCACCCGGCAGCGCAGCCGCCCTCAGACAGGTGCCTGGCCACGAAGGCTTCGACGAGCGGACCGAGCGCCTGCACTGCACAGGCTGCAAGGACGCGCCCAGAATCTTCTCCACGAAAGTCGCCCGGGCCACGCGCTCACCCGATCGCGGCGCCGAACTTGCCAGGCGGGGCCTGGAGCTCGGGCCAAAAGCGCGCGACGACCGGCAGCTGTGTTTTTAGCGTCTCGGAGCAAGAAGTTCACGTTGTGCAAGCACGTTGACGATCTGAAGATCGCTGGGCACGTGGAACATGTAAACAGGCTGATCAGCCACAGCGAGAGCGTTTTCGACCAAATGAAGGGCGACTACGGCGACTTCACCAACGTCGGAGCACGCCGGCGCCGCAGTGCCGACGGCACCGTGACGCTCGACCCCGACAAGCACTTCGATTCCCCGATTCCGATCAGACACGTCGACCTGGCCAAAGGCCGCGGCTGACGAGCCGGCCGGAGGTCAGCTTCCCGACCTCTTCGTTTCTTTGCAGCAGCTTACGCCCTGCTCACCTAGCACCGCGTCGCAGCGCACGTCGTTGCCCCGCTCCCCCGACGCGCGACGCAGCTCAACTTCGCGGCACCAGCCACGCATAATATCAAGGCACGCATCGCACTTCCATCAATTGAGTGCGCCGGGCGACTCAGCGCGCGCAGCGACGGGTCATTCCAGAGGGAGGCGGGGCCAGGATACGGCATGGGGGGAGCCGTATCCATGCGTCTCGGCATGTGTTGCCGCGCTGGCACACGGGCGCGCCACGCGCTGGGCGCTGTAAGCCGACCGCGCAAGCTTGCGCGCAGATCTTCATTCGGCCCTGATGAGCTACGCAGCTACTCGCAGCATGCGGCGCAGCAGACGGTCTGCATGCGCGCCTCATCACGCTGCACGAGATGGCGCACGGCCCCGCTTCTGCCGAAGTGATCAGGAGGTCGAGGGGGCAGGGGGACACGCGGCCCCCGCAGACCTACCTCGCCATAGACGGCGCGTCCGTCTTCAGCGCCCTGCTCTTGGACCCGGTCCGGCCACCGTCTGAGAACAGCATCAGCGCGATGGACGGCCATATCAGCTATGATGTCGCCATGGCGAATCACAGCAACGAGAAGCTGAAGAAGGCCGCCCCGAACTCACAGCATAGCTCACTCACGTAGAAATGCGGAGATGGCTCTCGTGACTGCATCACGAGGTCGCGCGCGCGAATGCATAACATCAGTGGGTGAAATCGTTGAGTTGAGCACTGCGGTAAGCGGGTTCGCCCGGACTGTGTCCGGGCAGCTTGCGGTTTTTGAGCATGCGTTCTTCTGATAGTCTCGCGCTGTACAGGCAGGGGGGCAAATGAGCTCGTTTCAACTAGTCCCACGGGCTCTGGCGGGAGTAATTCCATTCCTGCCACTGGCGCCGTGAAACATTTGTGCGGTTGGCGCCGTGGTGCGTCAATATACCTTTGGAGCGGAGCGGCGTCCGCCAAACCAGGGATTTGCCGAACCCATGCGAAGTTATCCCCTGCAGCCAGGCATTTGTTGTATGAGAAGGCGGTCAGTAGAGCTCTTCCTGCAGTTGTCGGTTGAATTCTATAGAGCACGACGTACTCGTTGGAGCACCGGATTCGAACGGCAGGTATTTTTGTTTTGTTTGTTTTTCACCCTGCCCTTGCCAGGGCATCAGGAAGTTGCTTCCTGTGGCCGCTTCGCTCAAGGTTGCAACCTCCGCGCCCGCTTCAAATAGTCCGATTCGGTTTTCATGGCTTTACATTGCTTCACAGAGACCATATTCATCTCGCTACATCCTCATGTCCAATATCTTTGAAATCCCCCCTCTGTTTGCCCTTGCCCCTCATTGCCCCTGCCCCGCTACTAGCACATCTCCCCCTCACTCTTCCCGTTTTTCCCGCTCCCCGCCCCCCACTCCTTTCTCTCATTTCCTTTTGCTATGTTTTACCATGTTGCCTTCTTCACGGGGGGCTTTCTCGTAATAGTCATCTTCGCCATCCTCCCATGGCCCGCATCCTCGAGCTGCGCATCGCCCCGTGGCCACGTCTGTCCTCCGCTCTTCGATCCTTCCCTCGTCGTCCTCAGCTTCGGACTGACCATACTTTCGGTGGCCCGAGAAGGGGCGCCACTTTAACTTGTGCTCCACGCATCGCGGCCCGGGCCGGAGGGTGTTCGGGGGGGCGACCGTCTCCAGGGCGGCGGCGCGAGGGCTCGAACACAACAGCGCACGGCCACCCGCGATGCGCGAAGGTGGGCGGCCCAGATGCACAGGGGAGGAGTATCAATAACGACGCTGTCGGGGGCGCGAAGTCATTCGCGCTCCGCGGTTCGGTTCCGATTCGTCCTCATTTTCCCCTTCTCCCCAGAAGGGGGCGGCGCGAGGGCGTAAAATTGTTCGAGAAGCGCGACGCGCCGAGCGCGAAGCCAGGGCGCCCTCAATCAAGCAGCCGGCTGTGTGTTTGCCGGGGCACCGTGGGTTTCCAGGCTCCAGGAGAGCCGCAGATGGGAGGCGCCCGGGGTCCCGACGCCCAGAGATTCCGGCAACATCCATGGGTCCTTGTGGTCGACGTCTTGTGGCATGTCGCGTGTTGTCCTCTGGGGTGCCCTTCTCCAGGGCGGCGGCGCGAGGGCGCGAAAATGAAAGCGCGTTTCGAGCACCGCGCCCTGCGAGGGCGCGAAGCGTGACTCGGATGTTGCCTTGGGGACTGTATGTCGATTGCCCGCTTGCTCGTTGAAAGTACGTGTTTTTGCTGGGCTCTTGGATCCTAATATACTATAGGCGCCTTCCTACTTCAATGATCGAGTGACTTCACATTTTCCTTCCTCTTCAGGGGGCGGGCGGAAGCCCAATCTACTTCAAAGCCTTCCTACTGCATGTTTGTACCCACGTTGAGCGCGACGATCCCCAGCTGCTGGTGCGTGTTCGACCTCCTCGTGGCGGCGCTGACGGTGGTCCTCTGCGCGGCTGGGGAAGCATTTGCACCAGTGTCCGAGCGTTGTTGGATTTTCCAAGCCCCCCAAATGGGTTCCGACTAAATGAGGCCAGAGGGTCGCGCCGCATGGCCGATGCATCAGCGATGTAGCTCGATGTGGACCCCGATGTTTTCCGCGCCGACGGCGCCGATGCATCGGTGAAGCGGCGCGATCCTCCAACCCCATCTCTTCGCACCCCACTTCGGAGGTTTCTAGGAGCATGTGGAGGTTCAATGGTTCGAAGAGGAAAAAATGGCACATGCACAAGTTCTTGACGCTTCGCGCATCCCCTCCAGCCCATCCAGAAACGATGCCCAGGGGAGTTGCACTCATCAGGGAAGGATGATGTTGAAAGAATTGGCTCTCGAAACTGCCCACGCCCAGGGGGCTAGTGGGACTTTCGATGGGGCCATATTGGAGCCATCTTGGGCCATCGGTAGACCCTCCCGAGCCATGTCGAGACCCTCTCAGACCTTCAAGGAGCCCAAGAAGCTAACGTCATGGATGTTCTTAGGTGTTGGTACGTGTTCGACCCCCAAAGGAGTCCCGCGCGGATTTCTTGACTCGACGCTGGACCCTCCCCTCGTGCAAACGACCAGAACCACATACCGAACACAGCCATGTGACCTCTGGGGATGTCTTGGGATTGTTTCAGTGGGCGTCGTGGATCTTTTTAGCAACTCTTGGGGCCTCTTGTGGCCTCCTGGGGCCTTCCTCCTGCGAATTGCTGGGGCCTCCTGGGGCCTCAGGGGAACTCCTGAGGCCTCCTGGCGCCTACCCCCTGGGACATCATGGGGCTGTCCCCCCTGGTGTACACGCATACGGATGTGTAAACAATAAGAGCAGGCGTGCATAGTTATACATATGTGTGTGTATTTTTATAGATAACAGAGGAAACGCGATGCATGCATTGTATGCATGTATGCATGCGTGCAGACAGACAGACAGACCGACAGGCAGACGTACATGCATGCACACACACATATATCTATATCTATATCTATATATATATATATATTTATGTGTGTGTGCATAAACATGTATTCATAAACCTATACATACACGTATATGTAGATTGGCCTTCGGTCCATCCCGCCACCGTGCCCGGGTTGTGGTCATGAAGCATATTGGATGGTCGTTGGGATCTCGTGGGGGGGGCGCTCTTGCCTCTTGGAGTCCGTTCCGAGGCTTTCTGCGGGGGGGGGGGCGTTTCAGGGCCTGTTTTGGGCTTCTCGGGAGCCTGCTGGGGGCCTCTTGGGGCCTCCAAGGCGCCTCTTGGGGCCTCCTGGGGGCCTCTTGGGGCAGAAGGCTGGGATTCTCGGTTCGTGCTCCCTCGCTTTGGACCCTTTGGGGGGCAGCCTTCGGGCCCTCTTGGGCCGTCTTGGGCGCCTCTTGGGCCGCAGTGTGGGACAGCTCGGCGTCACTCCATGGGCCTTTCGGTCGACACGGAGCGTGGTGCAGGGCCTGAGGTCAGGCACCTGTTTCGGGAAGGCCATGACCTTTTACACATTGGCTGCCATCGTGGTGGCCCACCCGCACCTGGGCCACCCGATTTGGATAGATGATTTATCCCAGGGAGGCGAGGGTCGAGGTCAACAGTGAGGCGGCATCTATCATCGTGCATCATCGACACATGCATGGAGCTACGCAAGCGGAATTTGAAAGTGTCGCCTAAATCTGTTGTGGCCTGCTCCGATAGCCAAGGCGCACAAATGGGTTGCTGCCAAGGTCACGAGGGCTTCGTTTCACGATCCTGCCCAAGTTTCAAGCGGCCTCACTTGGGATGGGCATTGCCCGTGGGAGCCGACAGGCGCGAGCTACCAGAGTTGTTCGTGAGACCAATCACACGCGTATGAATGCCAAGGTGCGTCGATTCGCGTGCTCTGCCAAGAAGTCTCAGACGAACGGGCGCTTGGAGCGCCAACAGGCGCAAGCTGCTGGCGTGTAGGGATGTGCGTGTGATGGTACGTGGTGTTTGTGTGTGGGTTGTGGGGTGTGTGGAATGTGGTGTGGGTTCTGTGTTGTGTGCTGTGTGCTGTGTGGTGTGTGGTGTGTGGTGTGTGGCGTGGTGTGTAGTGTGTGTTGTGTGTTCTGTGGTGTGTGTGTGTGTGGTGTGTGTGGTGTGCGTTATGTGTTGTGTGCTGTGTGTTCTGTGCTCTGTGTTCTGTGTTGTGCGCTGTGCGCTGTGTGTCGTGTGTCTTTTTTTGTGGGTTGTGGGTTGTGGGTTGTGGGTTGTGGGTTGTGTTGTGTGGGTTTTGTGTGGTGGGTTGTGTGTGGTGGGTGGTGGGTGGTGGGTGTGTGGTGTGGTGAGTGGTGTGTGGTGTGTGGTATGTGGTGTGTGGCGTGTGGGGTGTGGGGTGTGTTGTGTGGTGTGTGGTGTTTGTTCTGTGGTGTGTGGTGTGTTGTGTGGTGTGGTGCGGCGCGGCGCGGCGTGGCGTGGCGTGGCGTGGCGTGTGTGCGTGTGTGCGTGTGTGTGTGCGCGTGTGTGCGTGTGTGCTTGTAGGTGCGTGTAGTACGTGTAGGTGCGTGTAGGTGCGGTCAGGTGCGTGTAGGTGTGTGTGGGTGTGTAGGTGTGTGTAGGGGTGTGTAGGTGTGTGTAGGTGTGTGTAGATCTGTGTAGATCTGTGCAGGTGTGTAGATCTGTGTAGATCTGTGTAGGTGTGTGTTGGTCGGTGTAGGTCGCTGTAGATAGGTCTGTGTAGGTCTGCGTAGGTCTGTGTAGGTCTGTGCAGGTCTGTGTAGGTCTGTGCAGGTCTGTGTAGGTGTGTGTGTGTGTGTGGGTGTGTGTGGGTGTGTGTGAGGTGTGTGAGGTGTGTGAGGTGTGGGGGGGGGGGGGGGAATGTGTGTGGGGGATGTGTGGGTGTGTGTGGGGGGGGGCGTGTGGGTGTGTGTGGGTGTGTGGCCCAGGAGCCATTGTCGGGCCCAGGGGCCGTCAAAAACGGATCCGGCGTGAAAAACTGCACAAGGTGGACCCCAAGGAAGGGTCTCGGGGGGCCGGTTTTTTTGAGCGGATTGGCGTCGTCCCATGGAGCCGGCGCCAGCGCCGGGTGGTTGTGCTTTGCTCCTCGCCTTGTCGACGACGGCGTGCTGTTGTACATACACTCACGCACGCGATCTGCAGCCGATGTGCCGTCTAGGCACGGTTCACTTGACTTGACTTGGCCTCGTCCCCCCCTCCTGGATGGTTTTCTTGAGCCGAAGCCACCAGTTCAGACCCTTGGGCCACCTCCGAGCCGCAGGTCTCCGTTGGCTACGCCCTGGAGCACGTGGGGAGGCACGGCAACATTGCCGAGGCGCGGGGCGGCGGTCCGTCGGGGGCGACGATGGGGGCGAAGAGCCCAGGGGCGGGCACTGCACGCATTCGCCGGGTAGCCTCTCCGAAGGCATGGACCAGCGGCGCCCCTGGATACTTGTGTTGCTCTCCCCTGGGCTGCTCCCCCCCATCGTCGCCCCCGAGTTGGGGGCAGGGTCCCAGGATCAGAGATCCGAGGTTCCGACAAAGATGAGAGCGGCCCGTGTTGAGTCGCTTTCGGCCTCAAGGAGCCCAACGGGCCCCAGGACATTCAAAAAACGAATCGGGATGGAAGACCGGCCCCATGGAAGGGGTGCAGACCTCTGTGGGCCCACGGATCAATAAAATCTTGACGCTTCGCGTACCCCCGCCAGTTCGCTCGGTCGCTGTATAATTAGGCTCGCGCGTAGCCCGCTCGACCTTTTCGGACGCCTCCTGCGCTTAGGCTCGCGGCCGCGACCAAAAAAAATACCCCCGCCAGTTTTACTCGCCGCTGGCGCTCTCGCCTGCGGTTGCGACTAAAAGTATCCCCACCAGCCCATCCAAAACCGACGCCCAGGCGAGTTGAGACGACTATGGAAGCTTAGGAGGAAACTGGAGGACAGTCGTCATCGCTCGAGGGAGGAGGAGGACAAGGAGGAGGAGGAGGAGGAGGAGGAGGAGGAGGAGGAGGAGGAGGAGGAGGAGGAGGAGGGAGGAGAGCCCCCAGGGGCGATGCGTGGGCGGCGCATCGGGGCCCCTGGGGGAACTGAAATCCGCCAAGACGTCGCTTGCGGCGCCGCGGCCCAGGGGCGTTGGTGCCCTGGCGGGCCTGGGGCGGCCCCCGGGCTCCACCGGGTGGCCCCCGTGCGGAGTCGGTCTGCCGTCTCAGGTCCCCTGGGGACCCAGCGTTCTGGGGCCGCGTGGGCAACCCCCCAAGGCTGGCGCGGACTGGTTCTCCAGTCTGCGTCGGCCTGCGTGGTACCAGCCTGTGCGGGGGCTGGCTCTGGCCACTGTTGGGGCCCGCCCCTGACGTCGGGGTGTCGGGTGTGGTCAGGGGGGTCGACTCTCGTGGAGAGTACGGCTCAAGACGTGTACCGCCTGGCCCCCCTTCGGCAAGGGGGCCTGTGGGGGCGGGCCAGGCTACCCATGCGCGGTAAAACGCGCCGTGTGCCCCGCACGGTGACGCGGGGTAGCCTGTGTCCCCTGGCGCAGGAAGAACCAGGGAGGCATGGGGGCCGCCCGCCAGCGGCGGGTTGGTGGAGCTCCTGAAGCTCCACGTGGTGAGCCTGGCGCCTCTTCTTTTTCGCTTCTTTTCTCTTACTGCTTTTTCTTTCTCGGGCCCCGCCAGGAGTGCGCGGCCCCTAGCTCTAGGGGGTCGGCGGCGGTGGGCGCGTGCACTCATCGCCCGCAACTGCGTGCGCAGGAGGAGGGAGGAGGGAGGGAGGGAGGGAGGAAGGGAGGGATGGATGGATGGATGAGCAGGGAGAATGATGATGAATTTGCGGATGGGGAGGAGGAGGAGGAGGAGGAGGAGGAGGAGGAGGAGGAGAAGGAGGAGGAGGAGGAGGAGGAGACGGAAGAGGAAGAGGAGGCAGAGGGCGAGCAGAAGGATTTGAGGTTTCTTGGTTGCCTCTCGGCGTCCCCCAGGATATCTCTTGAGCGCCTGTATGTTCCTTGGATATTATTGGGAGCGTTGTGGCGGTTCCGAGAAACTCTTGGGGCGTCTTGGATGCATCTTGGGAGTTCACTGGGGCTTGTTTGGGGGGGGGCATCTTGGAAGCGTCTTTGGGGATTAATTTGGAGTTTCTTGGGTGGTCGCTGGGTCCTCTTGGGCGACTCGTCCTGCTCCCTCATCCCACTTCCTTCCAAGACCTGGACGGCCAAAGTGCAACCCGAACATGTCGCGTGCAACAGGTCGCGTACCATCACCAGGCAGGTCGCGTACCATAAGACCGAAAGGTCGCGTACCCGGGTCGCGCACCATCTCCAGGCGCCTTGCCGGACGCCTCAAGGCGGGCCCAGGGCAATTTTTGACCGTCTTGGGTACCCCAGGGATCCTCTCGAGGCCTCTTGGGGATCTTTGGAGTCTCTTGGAGGCCCTTTGGGCGCCTCTTGGAGCCGTTTGGGGGCCTTTTGGGGCGCTCTTTGGAATTGTAAGGACGCTCTTGGAGCCATCTTGGAACACATCGATACAAAAAGAGCGGAGCTTCAATTAGCCTTGCCCCGCTAGATTAGGGCAATCTTGGAGCGTTGTTGGGCGCTGTTGGGGCCGTCTTGGGGCTCTCTTGGGCCCCTCTTGGGGCCCTCATCTTGGAGACCATACTGCACTCTCTAAGGCCCTCTTGGAGCCATCTTGGGCCACCTTGGACGCTCCAACTACCCGCGACCACACCCCTCCAAGTCCAGGGGAGGGGGTAATGGGGGGGGTCAAGCTACCCGCCCGCCCGCAAGTCGTCTAGCTCACACCCACCCGCCCTCCCTACAAATAATTCACACCCGGGCCTGAGCATGTTCAGCGGTCGTCTTTGGATGGACAGCTATTGAGGTGCGCGACGCTTGGGCGCGGTGCGCCACGCGTGCCAGGGGCGCCACGCGCGCCAGGCACCCTTGGGGCCCGAGCGTCCCAGGCAGGCCTGGTGCGCCAGATGCGCCCCATGCTCCGAGTGCGCCAGGTGCGCCGCACACTCCAGCCGCGCCAGGTGCCCCGCGTTCGGGGCACGTGCAGAGTGCGTCAGGTGCACCTGCGCTCGTGACAGCACACATCGGGAAACATGTCGGCCCCCGCCATCCTTGTCGAAAACCGATGCCCGTCATTGTGTCTGGTGGGCCTGCGCACAGCAGGCCACGCGCCACCACCCCCGCCGTCCCTGTCAGAAACCACTTGATAGTGATCGCAAGATGGCCGCGCATGATCCAGATTTAGCCGCGAGGTGCATAATGGATTGTTTGTTGTTAGGGATGGTAGCCGTGCGCACAGCAGGGAATATGCTGACACCCCCGCCGTCCTTGTCAAAAGCAATGCAAACTGCTCGCGAGCCTGACGAACATGACCCGAGACTTTGTCCCAAAGTGTATTTCGCATTGTTTTTGGCAGGGATGGTGGGAGAGGGGCTGCATCGGGTCGGCCGCGCATGCTCCAAGTGTGGAGGCAGAGTGCGGTTTGTATTGTTTCAGAGTGCGGTTTGTATTGTTTCTTGAAAGGGATGGTGGGGAGCGGGTCGGCATGGCGTGTGTGTCGGCATGGTGTCGGATTGGCCCCGGTCGCTTGGGGGAGGGGGTGTATATCAATAAGGAACAGTGAGAAACCCCTCCCCGAAGGGGGAGAAGGGGGTTGGAAGAGAAAGCTCCCTAGACCACCTACGCCCAGAGGGCTGGTGGGACTGGAGCGCCAGATGTCTGGTGAGGAGGTGTTCTACTGTTTTCGTCCGCCATCGGCGGTTTCCCAGCCTCGGAATGGTCACCAGCAGCGGCGCCTCGCCAAGAGCTTGCCGGCGGTGGCCGCATCGCCCCGAACGGCCGCCCGGGGGCCCGAGCCCTTGGCCCGAACAACACCGGGGGCACTGCCAGGGGGGAGGTCGGCTCAGGGGTGGCAGATCGGCTCCCAATCGGCCATCCTCGCCGACAGGGGCCCTATGGCCTGCCCTCCCCCAGGAGCGTGCGGTCTCGGCTGTGGTGGACAGATCGGCGGCGCATCGCCGATTCACGCGGGATGCTTCCCACCCTCGGCCGGCCCCCACCCCAACGTTGCCACTCAGGAAGGGGGAGCCTCCAGCAGGGAGAGGAGGCACTGGGATCGGGATCGTGCCGTCTCGCCAATCTGTCGACCGTGCATCGTCGGTCCTAGCTTCGACGTTTCCCCCCCCCCCCCCTGAGCCGACCCCCACTCTATCATTGCCCTTCACGCTTGAGCAGGGCCTCGCCGATTCCTGGTCCATGTTTACCCCTCTGGGCTGGCTCCCCCCATTTCTTGTTGCCACTCAAGGCTGTTCGGAGGAAGGGGTGGCAAGGACCCTGGGAACACTCGCCAGAATGAAGGACTTGTGGGGTCCAAAACCCAGATATAGCAGGGCGCCAGAAGGGCGTGCGAAGGCCTGCCGAAGAGTTTTGGAAGGACCTGGAGAGAGCTTCCGAAGGACTTTCTGGAGAGCTTCCAGACACGCTGATCGGGAAACGCTTAGAAAAGGCCTCTCGAGACAAGCTGCGAGTTCAAGCAGGGCGCCGCGGCGCTGGAAAACGGAAGCCGGAACGACCTCCAAGGCTACCTTAGGGCTCCGGCTTCTTAATATGAAGCCCTCTTAGTTGTCTACGAGCTATCCGGGATGACGGTTAAGAAATTACCGGGGGTCGTGTTCATGCGGCGGCGCCCATGATACTGATTGAAGACCTGGCCCCCGGCCGGGAAATGTCTTGTTTGATCGTCCCCACCGCCTTCCTCGGGCGCGCGCCTGGACAGTTGACGTGCCGGACGGAGCCAAAGCGACGCGGAAGCCGAAGAGTCGGAAATCATGTTGTTCATCGTTCCTCCGACATTCTTTTATTAGCCCAGGGAAGCAATTAAGACCCCCCCCTTTCAGTGAAAGGATAACGTACTAAGCACCCTGAAGCCCCCAGAACCCTCGAAAGTAGCGAGGAGGAGGAGCAGGAGGAGGAGCAGGAGGAGGAGCAGGAGGAGGAGCAGGAGGAGGAGGGAGGAGGAGCAGGAGGAGGAGGAGGATGGAGGAGGATGGAGGAGGCAGGTTGAGGGAGGAGGAGGATGTTTCCACAGGCCAGCCCTTCAGGGTGTTGGCAGTCCGCCGTCTTCGGCGTCCAAGGCCCTTGCGTTCTTACGACTGGCATCAGAGGCGGCATCAGCCGCACTTCTTGGGAGGGCGCCTCTCCCGATCCATGGCTTTGGCGGCCG